CTTCTTCTTTGGACTGTAAGACAAACCCCAGAACCCTCTATTAGGCACATACATCTTTGTTAGGAAGCTATACAAGTATCACTCACCTAAAATCCTACTGCAGAAACCTCCTACACCACCATTCTACTCTGCTTATACCTGACCTTGGTATTGTGCCGACTGTCATACCATCCTATGCAGTCTTTGATTGCTTACCCTGTGATGTTTAATTGTGACAATATTGTATGCATTGGTTCTTAAGAGCTTTAATGAAAAATTGAAAAAAAATATGATGCTGCAGAAATCGAGGTGGCAGTAATCATCTGCAGAGTGACCCCTATTAATTCATTGAAGCCTTCAGCCTGCATATTTCAATGATGACATAGTGATTCCATGATTTGAAACTGCTTTCGTTTGTCAGTGACAGCTGGGATTGAAAGCCAGCAGCCATGTAAAGTGTGGCAACTCATGGGGGGATGTTTATAAACTTATCTCCAGCAAGGGGCATGATGCTAGGGGATATTTATCTACAGATTGTGGGTAGGTAAAGGTTAAAGGAGAACTATGGGGTTAAGGCTTTTCCCCATAGTTCTCCTTAGGGTAATGGAGGACACAAACTAGCGCCCTCCTGTCACCCTAGGCTGAGACGCCGCAGTATACCGCGAGTTGCTGCTTGCGATATACTGAGGCGCCGCAGCTTAAGCGGATCCCGACAATTGTGCCGGGATCCGCCCAGCTGCGTGACTGACAGCTGGCTCTGCCTATCTAGAGGCAGAGCCAGCTGTACCCGCCCCGACCGTTCCGCCAGTCAGCGCTGGAGGATCGGAGCGGGGAATCCAGCCCCTACCCTGTCACGGCATAGAGACGTGATAGGATCGAGAGGTGAGCGAACGCCGGTATATGTTCGCTCACCTCCCGATCTACTGAGCCGACCTGTGACAGTCTCATTGTCACAGGTCGGCTAGAACTATGAGGTGAGTGAAAAGCACTCCCCTCATAGTTCTCCTTTAAAGAGCAGCACACTGATGAGCTCATCTCTGCTCTCTCCTATTAGCATGTTTCTTGTTAGTATATTTATAGGCATGCTCCAAAGAGGTTTCCACCGCACTCCTTTATTTGCACAAATATCCCTTTTTAAAGTGGGTGCTGCAGTGATAGTGGATGGCGCTTCTTCAAATCCAAATGGTTAAGTATATCACCAGCACACCAAAGTAAAATCTTCAACGAGTGGTCATTTTATTGATGTACACACATCTCGTCATAAAGTAACGTTTCAGGGCCACTCAGGGTCCCTTCATCAGACATGCCACTGATGAAGGGACACTGAGTGGCCCCGAAATGTTGCTTTATGACAAGATGTGGGTAAAATTACCACTCGTTTGGTGTGCTGGTGAAATACTTAACTATTTATAGGCATGGACACATTTGTTGGTACCCTTACAGTTCATTGAAACAATTCTTAATTTCTCCTGAGAACTGATGAAATTAAAAGGAACTGTCTCATATATACCTGCATGTCTTTGGTATTTTATAGAGCAAAGAAAAAAAAAATTATGAAAAAGAGATAAATTATTGCTTATTGCACAAAGAAATTCTAAAATGGCCTGGACAGATTTGTTTCTACTCATGAAAAGATTATAAAGAATTGGATCATAATGAGGTTTCAAACTGTTTTCTGTAATTAGTATAACACGTCTTCAACTAGTCAGTCTATTTACATGGAGAAAAGTAGTCACTGCTGTTTGGTATCATTATGTGCACCACACTAAACATGGACCAGAGAAAGCAAAGGAGAGAGTTGTTTGAAGAGATCAGAAAGAAAATGATAGACCAGCATACCAAAAGGTAAAGGTTGTAAGACTTTGATGTACCTGTGACTACAGCTGCAAATATTTAGCCCTCGTTCACACCTAGGCGTTTTTGTGCAGTCCGAAAAGCGCATTTAACCACCCAACACAAGAAATGATTTTCATTGGCCCTGGTTCACACCTGAGCAGAAAAACGCCAGACGCCTGAAAAGATACAGGAGGTTCTATGGGCAGTTGAAAGCGCTTTTACTCCCCATAGACTTCATTGGAAATGCCCAAAAATGCACAACAGAAGCATGTTGCACATTTATGCACATTATTTTGCGCGTTCTTCCATTGCCCACAATGGTTTATGCTGCCAATCAAAACGCGCGTCTTCATGTAAGTTCGTTAAAACGCGCATACAAATGTGCACAACGCGCATCAACGTGCAAATAACCGCATGCTGCTAATGCGCAAAAACGGTGCCGCCTAGGTGTGAACCAGGGCTTAGAGGTTTAACCACTTAAAAACCATAGGATGTACTTGTACATCGTGGACCTCAAGTGGATATACCCAAGATCACGGCTACAGCTGCAGCCATTATCTTGGTATAATTTAAACAGCCGGATCCTGGTTGTCATGAGATCCGAGTCGGCGATCCCTTATATGGGCTTGAGAAGGTGCCACCTCCCCTAAAAAAACACCGATTTAATAAACATTTGCACAAATAGCATGCAAAATAAAAAAAATGCAACTAGCCCGGTTTTATTCTACGGGGCCTCATAAACTATGTAATGTTTTGGGGGGTTTTAAGTAATCATCAGGTCTAATCTGAGCATGGGATCTTTTTGATTTATTTTCACCTGGTGATCCAGTCAGTAACACCCTAATGGTGCAAGAATGATGTCGGTCATTTGTTGAACTTTATCAGAGTAGGGTTTTCAACATAGGCTGCTCTCCTGGTATGGATGCCAAATGCCCCTCCCCTTATTTCTATTACATAAGTAGGAGGGGTTGTGTAGATCGAGCAAGATAGCTTAGCTGATGATATTGGTGATTACATGCCTGCATGCTGCAATTCAGCAATAAAAGGGGCCAATTAACCACAATGGGTAGGACACCTTATTTTCAATTAAAAATAGCCCCGGGCTATACAACCTCAGATGATTTTGAATGGCTTACACATTGGGAAGCCCCAGTGAACCCCAATATAGTAATTACATATACATACTCTGTATAGTAACTCTTCTGGAGTTAATACTTTGCCATCTTCATCCAACCTGCAAGAGATAAACATATTTAGAAACATACAAACAGGACAAAACAAACTTATAAAAGGGGAAATACTGTCTTCAAGTTAAAAATTAAAAAACATTTCAAGCTATGACAGCAGATAAGGTGCAGTTTAGTGCATACCACCTTGAAAAAAGTAGTGTTTATGCCAACCCCTTTATCACTTCATGGTGTTTGGCAGCACATATCATACAGTAAAACATGAGAATCGCCTATTAAACATGGCAGTAAAGTTTACACCCAACTAAAAAATGTTAGAAAGAAGAAAAGATGCATAAAGCTTCCGATTTTTTAAGATTCTTTCACATGCTCTGTGTTCTGCCCTTACAGGCAAAAATGTATTGACTTACCTACCGGCCATCCCAAAATCGGCCACAAGATGGTAGTAAAAAAAAGTACATCTCCACCTACAGCAGTTGCACTGTTTTTCTATGGTAAGTTCCCAGTAACCTCCAGCCCAAGAAGATGAAATAAGTGAACCCTGGAACCTCAGACTCCATCTTGGAACAGAAGTGAGAAGGATCCAGTGCCATCCTGAACACGTTTGAAATAAATGAGCAAATTCCCCTTATGCAGCACCATTAGTAGGGATGGACTTGTTTTGCACTCTATTTGTGAGCTATCACTTTATTTACATATTTAAATGCTGATTGTATGTTTTCTTTGTATGTTCTTTTTTTACCAGTTTCACCCATCCTGTATTGTTATGAAAGCTTCAAGCTTTCATCCAGTCTGGCTTATTGCAGAATAGGAGGGTTTAGCTGCATGTTGAGCTATACAAGCCACAGGGTAACGTGTAGGGGGGACAGAACACTCTGCTTTTGAGCAAAGGTTTAATGGTCAATTAGGGCAAAGTGACAGAGTCTGTGTAAAGACACCCCAGCCCACTGGTATTCATTTCAACAACGATCCCCTTGCCTTTCCCTCCTGTGTCATAGTCGCCACTGAAATGCCAGATGTCAGAGCCTAGAAGGAGCCATGACGTCACTCCCTCTATAATGTGATGTGCTCAGGTTAAGCGATTGGCCAGTAGGCCCAAGCACTGCATCAAGTGTCAAGGAAGGAGTCATGGGGAAACACAGGAGAGTCAGGTATCAGAGGGTTGCAGTAGGCAGCTTTACACAGACTCTGTCACTTGCTCTGAATAGAAAATTCCACAGTCTTGCCTGGACAGATCCATTGCCTCTCTTTGTTCCGTCGTAGCCACCACCAAAATGCCAGGTGAGCGGTAACATCACCCCACCGTGGTGGGCAGCTTTACACAGGTACTGTCATTTCACTCTGAATGGACAAAGTGACCGTATCTTGTTAACCCTTTTGCTGCCAGAGCCTTTGCCACCAACGCCCCCCCATTTTATGCACACAACAACATGGACATTTTAGGACTGAAGATTACTTAAGCCCTCAAAACATTATATATTTTTTGAAAGCAAGGACCCAGTAAAATAATATGGTTGCAGTTTTTTATGTCACACAATATTAGTGCAACTGTTGCAAACCTGTTTTCAGTAAAAAAATTACATTACAATTTTAGTGCACACAAACAATGTAGAACCCATTTTTTGTCAAATATAAAAGATGAGGTTGTGACCTAAAGAGAGACCAAATATGTCAAGCCTAAAAACTGTCTGCCCATGAAATGGCGAAAAACTACGGTACCAAAAATTGTCCATAGGCAATGTTTTAAAAGTCTTGAAAGGTCATCAATGTAGAGTTAACAGTGACTGATGACCCTAGAATGATTGCTATTACTCCAGCATGTGAACAGATACCCCATATGTGTGGCACAATTGTTGTTTTCCTATACAAACACATCTGACAAGCAAGTTTGCGTTCATATGTGCATGTACATGGGGGGGAGCTAGTAAAATTTTGGGGTGTGTTTTTTTATTTTCTTGAATTTAAATTTTTAAAACTTTTTACTTTAACTTAACTTTATTACTATCACAGGGGGGCTGATGTAATAAAATAGTGGAGATGACAAGTTATCTTTCAGGAGACATCAGGGATTTCTTGATGATCACTTTTGGGCTCATTCTTTACAGCAGGATCAGTGAAAGGATGATGTTCACTGATCTCCATCCTGACCTGCCATGGAGGCCTGGACACCCAGGAGGGACAGATGAGCCTGGGACATATGGCAGGGGGAAGCAAATACAGCATCTGCAATCATTGTTTTACAATAAACATTTAATGCATAGCAAATAATTCCCAGAGCACTGCAGGTTACCTAAAGAGACATCATCAGTTTCACTTATCTTATCTCTAACTCCAGTTCTACTTATCTCTGATGAGGCATTCCAATCCTGTTATTATTATTATTATGGTCCTGATGATAACACAATGTTTACAAAACCACTTTACCAGTGGTAGGCAACCTCGGCACTCCAGCTGTGATGAAACTACAAATCCCAACATGCTTCTGCCTCTGGGAGTCATGACTATGGCTTTCAGAGTCTTGCAATGTTTCAAGGGACTAGTAATTCCACAAGGGTTGGAGTGCGAAGGTTGCCTACCCCTGCACTATACATTCCCTTGACAAGATATTTTTTTTTGTATATAGGAAAACAAGAACCTCCAACTGTTACCTGTAAGTCTTGCAGAGGACAAGGCGAGAATACACAGAGTCAAAGTCTCTTTCTACTTCCCTGCTGGCAGCCTTTAAAAAACAAACACAATATATAAAATGATACATCACATTACTAATGTACATCTATTTCAGTACATCTCATTGCAGAATGAAGGTCACATCATCATAATATCTGCTTTCCAAAACTGTCCACAGAGATGAGATTTATAGCAAGTTTCCAAAGAAATACACGAAACCCATTTGGGTTTTAATAAAAATAAACATTTATTAAATAAAACAAAGCACAGGGTGCAACATCCCATAGAACCAATTCGGAATACATTGGAAATAACTGCACATCATTGTTTTTACCATTGCAGTCAAAATATTGCACTCTCTGTGTATGGATTAAAGTGACACAATCTTAAAAATGCATTCAAGTACCCTACTATTATCACTCCCTATTATAGCTCGCTCCTGTGATGGACTACAATCTCAATACAATCAATGAGATTGTAGTCCATCACAGGAGTGAGCTTAGTGCGGTGACTACTTTACAACACACACAGGGACCATGGGGAACAAAGTAGCCACCCTCCAGAAGGAAGGACAGTGTCGGCACCAATTCAGATATGATTTGAGGATCTACAGCCGAGTGATACACACATAAGATACATTTTTATTAATAATTAGGGCACCTGAATGCATTTGTAAGATTTAACTCCCGAGTTTAGTGTCACTTTGAAGCAAATGTAATCCTAGTCACTAAAATGTCATATAATCTTTCACACGTAACGTCATTTCAAAATTCATTTTAAATCTTTATAAATCTACAGCTTTTATTAAATAAAGTAATCCTACCATGAAAACCTTTGTTCAGGCACTTCCTGGTATAGGACTACACTCCTCTGTCCCCGTCTCCCAACTACTCTGCTATGTTGTCACCCTGTCACAAGCGCATCTGTTGGAGACTGTAAGCAGCCGTGCTTACATTTAATGCACAGGCATGCTCCACTGTTGTCACCATCCAGAAGTCCATCTTTGCAATGCCACGTTGCTACTTTTGTAGTGCATACATGTACACAAGAAGTGTCTACAAATAGGCTGCATGAGATCTGCAGAACTGAGATGCAAAACATTAAAAAAAATAAAATGAAAAAAAAAAACAGTATTTTTACAAATAAACACAGTAATTATTTATGATATGATGGTGCTTCAGCAAACTAAATGCCATGCAGTGAAGGTTTACAGAGTCAGAAGACCTCAGTGGAGAATCCGGAGATGTTTTTATTTTCACAGAAGTGGTGTGTAACTTCATGAGATATGTGTAGGTTATTGCATCTACTTTAACAGTTGTGAATAGAGACAAAGTAATAGCACGATGACACAGAGCTCTCTCTAGCAGCTAATCTTTAAGTCTACATATTTAATGTAAAAATTTGAATACAAAATACTACAATATGCAGAAGCAAGCATATCAAATAGGAACGTGATAAAATAAATATATTTTCTTTTTAAGATGCTATTTTTGGGGTTTCTTAGGAGAGAGAGCACATTCACATCAGGCCCTGTCCACAAGGAGCTTACAATCTAAGGTCCCTATAACACATACACAGACTAGGGCTGATTTAGGGCCTTTAACCTTCCAGCATGTCTTTGGAGTGGGGGAGGAATCCGGAGTACCTGGAGGAAACAGACACCAGCACAGGGAGAACATGCATACTCCTTGCAGATAGTGTCTTGGCCGCGATTCAAACCGGGGACCCCCAGTGCTGCAGGGCATTAGTGCTAACCACTTAGCCACTGCGCTTATTTATGAATTTAAACTATCTGCAGAATCCTTCTCCCGAATATCTGTGAATGTTCCTTCTGTGTGGATATATGCCAAAATAAACATTCACTAGTTTCTTTACAAGGCAATGGATTTTCAATGTTTTTATTTAATATTGAGTAATGACCACTAGATGGCACTGAGGAGCATATCAAATAAAAGCACTAAAATGAATTGCAGTTGCAAAGAAAAAAAACAAAGAACATCCAGTCTGACATATATTTGCACAGAGCGAACATTCAAAGCGCATGTTTATAAATAGACCCAATAGTAAATCAGTTACAGAATCCATGTGGGCATCTGACAACATTACAAATTAATGACATAATAGGTACATATACATAGTCTTGTATAATATATTCATACATTCATTGTGGAGAAGGAAGAGTTCATGTTATATATGCATAAACATTGGGGGAAAAAGAAAGTCAAACCCTTGAATAAACCATCTCAGCATTATTGTGCTTATAACAGTACAGGTTCAGTGAACCGGATCCATAATAGTGAGAAAGAAATGTACATAAGAGGGAGCAAAAACAATAGAAAAAAAAAACTGCCAGCAGCTTAACCCCTTCGTGACTGACGACGTACAGTGTACGTCGCCAGCATCGGGGCTGTTTAAACAGACTCCCGGTGACTTTTGCCGCCGGGAGTCTGTTTAAACTTGTAGAGCCGACTGTCGGCTTTACAACAGAAGCGATCCTGGCGACTTACCTGTCGCCAGATCGCTTCTGCGTCCCGAAGAAGGGGCCGCCCCCAATATATAATGTTGGGGGGTTTTACGTCATTTTCAGGCCTAAAATGTGGAATATAACATGGGTGCAAAAATGGAAAAAAGGGCCTCAGTCATGAAGGGGTTAAAACATGATGTCTGCGCACCTAACATGGACCACTAAAACGGAGAGCTGTGTGCTGTCTCTATAAAGGGTTAGGGTTACTTGTGGTTCTGCAAGTTTCATTAAGGAAACAAGATAAGTAATACAAAAAAAAGGAGGAAAGTTAGGGTAGTATAACACTATCTTGGGATTCCAACCATCTATGCCAGATCTTATAAAATATAAACATATATATTCATAATACACTTGTAAATACAAATGTAAACTCTGCAACAGCTAGCATTTTGAAAATACATCACATTATCCATCTTACCTCTTCAATGAAGAGCCAGGGGTGACATGGCCCCCCTAACAAAGAGGGCTTCTTGAGTCCATGTTCAAATATTGCCTTAATACTTGGGCATAATGTTCCTCGAACCAAATCTGTGACACCCTCCGTCACAGAGTCATCCCCAGCAATTGAGTACTGTGTGAAGACACAAAATATGTGATAAGGGAAAGCACTGGGAGAAATCATGATAATGTTAGCTCCCCTAAAGAGGACCTGGACACCCACCATTTAGCAACACGGAGGGCAGGCTTACTTCAGTTCACTAGTAAGAAAAGAAGCATTCAATGCATTCTGCCTGTGATAAATGTAATAATGGTGTTTGATTGGTTGCCATCATAGCTTCTTGGGCAGGCTATATTCGCAGACATAAAAGAAATCACATTTTTATATTGGTTTCCCGAGAACTGGAGAACCACAGTGGGCTTTCTGACCTTTCAGTGAACTTACAGACTGCTTTGAGGATCTTCTTGCAATTGATTTTAATTGCTTACATGTTTTTTACAAGCAGCCTGACTATGACTTGCTCTTAAAGTGTCCCCAGCACTCATCTTCATTATTTACACTTTGCAAAAATTGCAAAATAATTGAACAACTTCCCTGGTCTCACCTCTTTACTTCTTTCATCAAGAATCTCCACAAACTTTGCAGGAAACCAGCCTGAAGAAAATAAAATGTCATTATTGCAAATGCACAGATTACAATTGGTATGAATGGTCAAATAAACTATTTGTAGTAGAAGATTACAGCAGGCCACAGACTTGGGAATTGTGTATGCATGTCCGACTGTCCTAAGGACATACCATCTGTACAGGTGCCCATACACCTGCCGATTATCGTACGATAATCGCGGGTGATCCCGCGATTGTACGATAATCAGCAGGTGTATGGGCAGCGTGCGACCGCATCTACTGTAAAAAAGCAAAAAGTTTCCCAGCACACTCACAAGCCAGCATGAGAAAAAAAAAGTTGATGAGTGCGTTTGCCATTTGTTTTGCTTTGCATCTACTTTAAAGGTCGCACGACTTTAGTCTTCCGAGCACACTGGAAAACCTGACGAAAATCATACGATTTTCGGCGGGTTGGTGGCATGCTCGAAGACGAATGCCGCACGGGCCGGTGTGCGCAAGCGCACACTGCCCGCTCAGCACTGCAATCTGCAATGATCGCAAGTACAATCTGCCCATTTTAATCACCTTACAATGGTTTATGGGCAGCTTAAAGCAGTGCAGAGAGCGGCATTTAGATATGTCAAGCTGACAAGTTTACCTCAATTGAGAGGGAAGGTGAAAAAGTGCTGGGGAGGTGGCTGGTTTAGATACAGAATTAATGATAAGGACGAGATTTTTATTCTGCTCTGTTGCTAGTCATCTCCTACAAGGCCAGATTAAGCCACCTAATTTTATTTCTATGAACATTTGTTATTGTCATTTAATAATAGAAGGCAACAGACCCCACTACAAAAATATAATATGACCATTGGCCACAGAAGGGCAGGGAAAGGGTAGAATTACAACTGCATAATAAACCTTAGAGAGAAAAGAAAATCTGTCATACATTCTCCTGATCATGATACAAACTATGATAAAGTATACCACAATCCCTGCTAAGCTTTTTAACAACAATAGTTAATGATAAATATTAGGGATGCACTGATACTAGTATCAGTACCAATACTGAGTATTTGGTCGAGTACTCTTACTCCATGCCAGCGGAAGCACCGGTATCGGTACTCGGTAGCGGCAAGTACCGAAAGCAAACTATCGGTACTCTTACTCGACAACGAAAAACCGGAGCAAACCAAATATAAATGAAAACTCTAAGTGATAGTTTATGGAGATTATCTTTATGTACCAACACCCAAAAAAGTATAAAATGACAGAAAAAAAGCGGGACTTTCATGGTACCAAACATCAACATCACTCAACATACAATTTCTTAAAAGTCACCATTAAATCTTTATTACAGAAAATGTACAAAAATTATTAAAATCAAGTTGGTGAGCTCACCTCTGATTTGTACCCCCCAGCCTATAAATACAGTATCGTAATTTTAAAGAATAAGTTGTTAGATCCCATTTTTCAAGTATTGTCCAGATCATCAGATAGGTATGTATGATGGGATATCGGATTCTTTGGGTGTATCTTAGGCCAATGGTCTACCTCTTTCAGAGATCGGGAGGTAGATTATCTACATTTACAAGATATAGATTTTTATTAT